CACAAGGAACGATTACAAAACAGTAACATTATAACTTAAGTTACAATCAATTAAGAGGCGGACTTTAGTAAATATATTTTATTTATTTTAATTGTTAATATATTTAGTTTATTTGCTATCATCTACAATTATCAACTAAATCATATATTTATTAGTCATCTATTATAAGTTAATTTATATGTCAAATAGAGCTTATTATTAAATGAGCTTTATATCTATAAAAAAAAGTTAGTTCAATAGGTGGAATTTTCTACATATATTTATACCCACATTGCTAGATTTATGAGTTGTTGGATATATATATATATATATATATATATATATATATATATATATATATATATATATATATATATATATATATATATATATATATATATATATATATATATATATATATATATATATATATATATATATATATATATATATATATATATATATATATATATATATATATATATATATATATATATATATATATATATATATATTCATGGAGAGAACTTGAAAGATAAAAGGGAGTCAAGATATCTAATATACTAAACTAAAATGGATGAAGTTGTTACTAGTGTTGTTTACAAAAATTGTTGAACCGAACCGATGAGAACTGAAATTAAAATAGTTGAACTATTATATTTGGTTAGTGAGTCGAAATTGTGTTACACATACAATTCAAAAACTGAACTAAATAATAAATTAACTGAACCGAATCGAAAATGAAAATGAAAATTTTTAAAACACAAGTTTAAAATTGTTTTTATATAAATAAAGGATAACAATTCAATTTTTTAACATATACTACTAGAAATACACAGTTTACCTGCGGATTTTGACAAAAATTCCGCAGGAAACACGTTTCCTGCGATTTTTCCTTAGCTTATTCGTTTCCAGCTAAAACCTCCGTGGGTAATTAACATAGCAGGAAAAGTCGCAGGAAATAGTCGCAGGAAAATGTCGTAGGAAAAAGTTGCAGTAAAAAGTCGCAGTAAAATGTCGCAGTTAAAAGTCGCAGGAAAAAGGCGCAAGTATAACAGCTAAATTCGCAGGTAATACCGCAGGTAACTTTAACTTTTGCTGGAAAAGTCGCAGCAAACTGGAATAATATAATTAATTTCACAGGTAATTTCTCTCTCATGTTTTTAATTTTTATTATTCATTGTGTCTAAGTCATATTTAAAATTATATATTTAATGTATTTAATAATATAAAAATAAAAAATCTAAAGAATCTTATTTAATTTTGTTAAATGATTTATCATTATCCAAAGAATCTGATTTAATTTTGTCACAATTATAAAAATCTAAGTATTTATTCGATCATGGCGTTAAAACCACCAAAATCTACCCTAATAAATAACTTAAGACTGCCGCATCAACCATGAGGAAAATGATCCAAAAATTCCACTCAAAATACACATGTAGTAACGATTCATACAACAAATATACATAATCTTCTATTTAGGAATCTAAGTTACAGTTGAAAGTAACTACTGTCCCTTAATTATGAACTAGCAAATTAGAAAAATCAATTCCCTTGGACTTGTAATATCCTTTTTCTGTATTTGTCAATCATCTACCTCGGAACATTCTCCACTCCATCCCACACCTCTCTTTAACCTGTCACCAATAATACCATGCAAAATATACACATAAACAAAATCAAAATCCATTTAATTCATATACATTATACATTGTCAATGTAAAGAAAAGTATAATCCTGACAATTAATCGTAATCGTCAAATAAAAAAAACGGTTGAATTACAAAAGGTTCTTATATCATACCGCCCGCCATGTCGGCTTCCCCGTTTGTGCTTCTCCCCTATCAAACAAAACGCGAAAAACATTAAAATTTATAAAGCTTCATTTGAGTGATGATAATATAATTAAAATCAAACATATTATGTATCATGATTAGTCATAAACTAGATTAAAATCTTACCTGATCCCCTAATGATGGAATACCTTGGTGAACAATCCATTGAGCATCAACCACTCCAATTTTCTCATGGGCGGGCTATAACAGAATTTAATTCAAATTTCTATAGCATATCAAAATTATAGTATAATAAGAGAAATAAGCTTAGTTTAGTACCTCAACACATTTTCTAAAAGCAAAATCAAGTCCCCATCCATTTGAGGCCGGCCTGTTGTTCTATCATTCGATTACAAATTTTGAATTCTTCTACAATTTTTTCAGCCACAGAACTGCTGCTCGTGACGAAACTAGAATATGTACAAACAAGCTATTGAAGTTAAAACCGTGGTTAACAGTATTGACACAAAGTTCACTGCATTGTTGTCGAGAATGCTGAGACCTGAAATCTTTTTAACAGTTGGTCCTGGCTTCCCAACAACCTACAGCATAGAGTGAGGTCACTGGATCTTTCATTGACATTGTTCAAATGTAATGTAAATGAGAGAAATATGTATCAGAATTTACCTTCTGGCGAATAGAGCAGAATCCACTAAATTGTAACGTTGCACCCAATAGAGAGTCAACGATACTCCCACCTAGTCCTGCCTTGGTAGCCATGGGTATGACCAGTAGTTGCTTGAGAACTCTATCAGACAGTGTTTCGTTAACATTGGTCTCTAGCCAAATAGCAACGTGATTTACGCGGATGCTCATATAGGGCTTAGACTAAAAGACTATTTACCTTGAAGGTTGTGATGAGACGAGGTCGGTCATCACTGAGAACTCCAATCTCTGAAGACCAGGTATCTCCATTGCAGCAGCAATAATGGCCAATAACGCCACCAATAAGAGCGGTAATCAGAGGCGACTCTTTAGAGTTCAAGCAATAATACTTCCCGTCGGTTAAAACCCATAAAGCTACAACCAGAACAGAGGCAATACCACTATTTGACAGAACTTGTATCCTGAAAAAATAACAGTAGGCAAAATTCAGACCAAACTCAGGTCAATCAACAACATGCATGTCAAATTAATATCATATGAGTAATTGTAATAGTATATAAATTAAAGTTCAAAGTTGAACCTTTGCATACTCTATCTGATATACTCTATAGTCAGTGAGATATGATAAAAAGCAAAACCATAGATTGAAAAATGAATGTTGCAATCAAAATGGACACTCTCCATATGAATTTTGGACCACTTTATCACTTACAATTATATCATAAACAGCAGAACTTTTTTGGTAGATGAAATTTGATTTCTCAATTATTAACATTCAAAACAAAAAGAAACACAAGATTGTAAAAACAGAACAAAAGTTCATATAGTAGTTAACATAGGACCATGTCCATAACAACATAAAGTTATGATATGTACCACACAGGATCATGATCATATCATACTACATTATTGCATTTCATTACTGGTAAAAAAAACTAAGTCAGAAGAAAGCTCTGCTACCATAAAACAGAAACGCTAAATCAAATATTAAAAACACCTTGAGTATTGATGGCTGAATCTTATTGGGTCCTCTAGATGAGAATGAAGCCATTACTGGAGCTGGCTTTCTTCCATAGAATGTTTTTGCTCCTGAAAACCTTATTGTAGTACCTGTTTTTAGTTTAGAGTCCCTGCAATTATAAGTATAATGTGTATGGTTAGAGTTTTTCATTCGTAGCATGTCAACAAATGTAACAGTTCTAAAAGGGTATGCGGAAGAGTAAGACGGATATATAATCAACTACATTGAAATGATGTCATAGGAAGAAATGTTAGCAGAAGAGTGGTAATCGCTTTCGTTATGTGACGTAGATACACAAGACAAAACATGAGGCTCAGCAAGAGTCGTTTTCCCTTATTGTGGTCGATTGCTCAAAAGCATTCCCTTTGCGCCTGCAGATGAAGCTTCCTGACCTTCAGCAACTGATTTTATATTTCCTTCTCGATTGCATGCCATTATTTTCCCTTCACTTTTAAAAGGATCTAGTGTTCCCGGCCTACAAAGTCGTCTGCAACAATACATATGAAAAGTGTGAGAAATTATCGTTTAATTAGTTAGTAAGTTTATTTCAAAGTAAAGCATTTGAGATTGGTACTTACGCGTCACGATTTGTCGCATTGGCAAGCTTACCATCGGTAGCAAGAATCAAAGAAAAGGCTTTGTTTGGTGGCAGGTTTACAAAAAGACTGGCTCCCTAGTAATAAAAAATCAAAAACAGTTATTTCAAATTTAATTACTATTAGTTAATAATAATATGAAGAGGATTAATAAGAATTACGATGACATTTACCGTCACTTTTTGATTGTTACCAAAAGTTACAGTACTGCTGAAATCTCTATCTAATGTACTTGCAGCAATTGTGAATACCCATGGAGCTACGTTCACAACACTTCCTGCTGTTGGTCCATCATTTCCAGCAGAAGCAACTACTAATATATTTCTAGAAAGTGCATGAAATGCACCTACTGAAACCTCGTCGGTAAAAATATCTTCGGGATTAACAAGGTATTGGCCAGCAGCCGAAAGTTTTGAACCATAATATTTTTCTTGATGAAGGTGAGAATCTTGCAACAGGAATAAGAGTTATTATTCTCTTTTGAGTTATACAAAAGATGAGATAATTTTATATATTCTGTTGATAGTTAATTACCATCTGGGGATGTCACGAAAATAGATGAGACACTGTCAAGCATGACACGCCATTCAATTTTGAAATAATATCTTAAACATAATGCACACACAATTCAAAGGCCAACGTAAAGTTAGAACAAACTAGAGCACCATACAAAATGCTGCAAAAAGTAATTTTGAAATGTTACTACCGGTAGAACAGCCGCTGAAAATCGTTGGCTATGCGACATGGGTTAAACAAAACAGCCACGTAGCAACCAAACTCACAATGGCATCACATTATTAAAATATAAGCAGTAGGAAAAACACAGTTTTAAGATGAAATCAACTCGAGACTCGAAATGAACACAATGGTAACTTGTCTTCGACCAATGGTTCTAAAAAGTTTTTAGAATCTAGGTGATTGTTATCTACAAGTCAAGTAAATGTTTAAAAATTTATCTAAATCAAATTGCAATTAAATTTTCATCATCGTCATTGGAATCCTCTTCATCTTCATTTTTTTGTATTGTTGACAAACTAACCTCTTCACCATCAACTTCATCATCTTGTAGGAGATCAATTGGGTCATCTTCAATTGTTGCACTAACTTGTGACTCTTGAACTTGAAAAGCAACCTCTAGTGTGTGTCTATCATCAACAACCCCTCTTGGCTTTGTCTTTATGGCTACCAACCAATCAAACTTATCTCTTGGGCGCCCAGGATAAGGTGAATAATAAACTTGAGTTGCAGCTTTTGGAAAAATAAAAGGATCAAATTTACTATATTTTCTCCCCTTACGAACTTCTACAATCTTGTACTGACGATGTATTCGCATCCCATGTCTTGAAGGGTCAAACCAATCACAGTAAAATAAAACCAACTTTTTTGTTGTTTGACTTGGCCATTGAAGTTCTAGAATTTCTGTAAGAATGCCATAATAGTCATTTGAAGTTTCATCTTGTCCTATTCCACTAACACACACCCCACTGTTATAGGTTGTTTTTCCTTCACCCCAAGAAGTTGTGTGAAATTTGTATCCATTTGCAAAATAAATAGGCCACGATTTCGCTAGTCTCAAAGGCCCCCTTGCCAAATCATACAAGTCAGAATTTTGTCTCTTATGTTTGCAATTCATCATCACCTAGCCAAATAAATCAATTCATACATCTTAGTTTAAAAGAAAATTCTACATCTTTATTCTAGCCCAAATATCCTAGAATTGAAAACTTTATAAATATGCTTACGTATTTTTGAAACCAGTGCGGAAAGTCAGCTTCTAGTTGTTTATCAATGATATCGTCATTGACATCTCCATACATACTTTTCAAACTTTGGACATACATACTACATAAGATATTATTAAAAATTAATGTCATTATTAGTTTAATAAAATATAGATATATTTATTGCTCAATACTTACTCAATAAATGGCTTAACCTCTTTGCAATTTAAGAGAACGTGTAGTTGTGCAGCTTCCATTTCTCTATCCTCGAGCCACCTTTCACAATATTTTCCCGCTGTTTGGCCATTCAAATGTTCAAAGATAGACAAAGTTGGTTGCATATGGTCTTGATGAATCCCCTTGTTTATGCCAATAACACTCGAGTATTGAGCAGGAGGCAAAAAATAATGGGAACTGAAATAGGATGTCTCTTGCACCAAATATGCTTCACAGATACACCCTTCCACATTTCTTTTGTTTTTTACTATTTTTTTAATTTTATTTAAAAATCTTTCAAACGGATACATCCAACGATATTGAACTGGTCCACCCATCTTAGCTTCATCAGCTAAATGAATTGGCAAGTGCTCCATAGAGTCAAACAATGCGGGTGGAAATATACGCTCCATCTTACATAATATCAAAGGAATGTTTTTTTCCATTTGTAATAAATGATCTTCTCGCAACACTGTTGAACACAAGTCTCTGAAAAATTGACTAAGCTCGGTTAAGGTCTTCCATATTGGTTCGGGAAGAGCACTAAAAGCTATTGGAAGTAGACATTCCATAAAAATATGGCAATCATGGCTTTTCATACCAAAGAGTTTCTTTTGCTTTAAATCTACACATCTACCCAAATTAGAAGCATAACCATCAGGCATCTTCAATCCTTTCACCCATTCGCACACATCAATTTTTTGTTCATTCGATAAACAATATTTGGCTTTGGGTTTCATATAGTTCCCATTAGAATTTTTTTTCAACAACAACTCTCTTCTATGACAATACTTTTCCAAGTCCAATCTTGCGTTTTTGTTGTCCTTAGTTTTCTCTTTGTTGTCCATAACTGTATGAAAAACATTTTCAAAGACATTCTTTTCTATATGCATAACATCAAGATTGTGCCTCAATAAGTTGTGTCTCCAATAAGGCAAGTCCCAAAATATGCTTCTTTTGGTCCAATTGTGTGAAATTCCACGACCAGGAACAATGCAATTCCGCATGTTAGTTACTTTAGGAAGCCCACAAACCTCTTTCCATACTTGTTCACCACTTAACCTTGGAGGAGGCTCTCTTGTCTCAATTCTATTTTTGTAAAACATAACCTTATTTCTTCTAAAAGCGTGATCACGAGGTAAAAATTGACGGTGGCAATCAAACCAAGATCTCTTTTTTCCTTTTTCCAATGAGAAAGCTTTTAAACCTCCCTTGCATATTGGACAAGCAAATATTCCTGCAGTACTCCACCCAGACAACATCCCATAGGCAGGAAAATCATTTATTGTCCACATTAGTGCAGCTCTCAATCGAAAATTTTGCTTCTTTGATGCATCATATGTTACTACACCATCATTCCACAATTGTTGCAATTCGTCTATCAACGGTTGTAAGTACACGTCAATTTTACCTTTTGGATTGTCTGGACCTGGAATGATCAAGGTCAAGAACATATAAGGCATCATCATACATAGCTCAGGAGGTAGGTTATATGGTGTGACAATTACTGGCCAACAAGAATATGGTTTTGCAGATTGGCCAAAAGGGGTAAAGCCATCAGCACACAAACCAAGTCTAACATTTCTAGGTTCCAAAGAAAATGCAGGATATACTTGGTCAAAGTGTTTCCAAGCTTCCCCATCTGAAGGATGACACAACACACCTTCTTCCCTACGATGTTCATAGTGCCACCTCATGTGCTCTGCGGATCTCGCCGAAGCATATAATCTTTGAAGGCGAGGGATTAAAGGCAAGTAATGCAATCTCTTGCGAGGAACATCTTTAGAGTTTCGCTTACGCTTACGCAGAATACATGTTTTGTATCGAGGCTCATTGCAAAACTTGCACTCATTCAAATTTATGTCCTCTTTGTAATACAACATACACCCACCAATGCAACAATCAATCTTTATCTTTGATAAACCGAGTCCAGACACAAGTTTTTTTGTTTCCCTAAAGTTAGAGGGAATTACATTCTCTGGGTGACTTGATTCCTTCATAAACTTGACCATGTCATCGAAACATGCTTGTGACATATTGTGTTTAGATTTTAAACTCAACATCTTAATAGCAGCCGATAACTCAGTTGTGTTTTTACATCCCGGCCACAATGGTTGTTGAGTTGAATTCAACATGTCATAAAATAATTTTGCTTCCATATTTGGAGGTTCCTCTTCTTGTTGTATAAAATGTTGTTCGCGATTAAAACCGGCAGCATCAAACACCATGTCTTGATATCTATGAACATGTTCATAACTCCCCTGTTGACTATTACTACAAGGCGCAATCATATCTATACCATCATCTTCATCACTATCATTGATGTGAGCGATTATCTCTCCATGGCAAGTCCAATTCCAATATTCTGGTGCAAACCCGTGTTGGTGAATATGAGTGTTTGCCTCATCTGGGGTGAGGTGGTCCTCATTTTTGCACAACTTACATGGACATCTTATTATACCATTCTTCAAATACTCTTTCTGTTGACAAGCAAAGTTTATAAACTCTTCGACACCTTTTAAGAATTCATATCTATGTGCACTCCGACCCGGGAGAAGCCTATTATACATCCATGTTCGATGCGGAGGAATTTCCATTTCCAACGTAGCTCCAAAAATTGTATTAACACCTATATATATTACAAAGTATAATAAAATCTAATGTGGACACAAATGCGATAAGTCACCAAATCATTAATATAGACACAAAGTATAATAAAATCTAAAATAAACAATCAAATGCAATAGGAACATATTTAAGTCATAAAGTAGTACCTACCTTGAAATTTCAAAATCAATAACTTTGCTCGGTACCGAAAATGAGTTCAAATTTGTGCTTCAACCTGCAAGAATTACAATTGATTGTATTAATCTCTATATGAAGAAAACATTATAAAATCAAAGGAATGCGTCCACAGGTAAATTAAGGCAAACTTGTTTCAATGACAGTATACTAATTACATTATATTTGTGAAAGCAATCAAATTAAATAGTACATTAAAGAAACAGTATATAAGATAAATATGCATTACTTAATTAAAGAAACGAGATTTGTGAAGGGGAATCAAAATAACAGTACACTGATTCATGTATATTTTTGAACAGCTATATCAAAATATGTTGACAAAATTAACAGACCAACTTTAATATGAAAGAAACAAAATTTGAAGAGGTTGGTACAAGTCACATGCCATTTTCCTGAAATTGTTGATAGTGACACAGAGGATCAATCTACTTTGCTATTTTTTGATGTAAAAACAATTTTACTTTTTTGGTGGCTTTTTCAATTTTGCAATTTCTGAACACACAAGGAAGTAAGAGAATATTAGTACTACACCCACCATACACCATGTTTGTTTTCCAAGTCTTTCCACTCACTTTTTTAATTTCAATTTTGGAACTTAAAACACCTTAAACAATATAATGAAAAACAATACTTTCAATACAAAAAATCATTAAATAAAAATAGAAGATTAAAAATATCATTCTAACTTTATATATTTATGGGGTGGCATTTATATTTAGATATAAAGCTACCCCAGTGGTAAGAACTTTGCACATAAGCACGCCTGTAACATGCATGACTTGGGTTCAATCCGTGTGGAGGTCGAATCCTTTTTCTTTTTTCTCATTTTTTCCACATGAACTTTAAAAAATCATCTCTCTCTCATTTTGAATTCATTCTTTTTGCAACATGTTTGTTTTAATGTCTATTTTCATTATTTTCATGTGGTGTAAAAATATTCCAAATTTTTCTTAAATATCATTCTAATTTAATAAATATTTTTTCAAAAAAATTTGCAAAGCTATGAAATCTTAAAAAATGTTTTAAATAAGAATACTAGGCACTCAAATTATCTTAAAGAAAATAAATCTAAAAAATAATTCTTGACAAAATTTAAACAAAAACTATTATTATTGAATAAAGTATAAATTTTTTTTTTAGTGAAAATTATTTTAAAATAGGTTTGTTTTTATATTATATATATAAATCTAAAAAATCAATATGTCAATTATATATTACAATTTTATTTAATAATAGTAAAAATTTAATTAAATAAATACACTTATATTTTTACAATTATATCATAAACTATTATTTTTAAAATTATATAATAAACTTATACTTTTGATTTTGACAAAATTTAAACAAAAACTATTATTATTGAATAAAGTATAATTTTTTTTTAATGAAAATTATTTTAAAATAGGTTTGTTTTTATATTATATATATATAAATCTAAAAAATCAATATGTCAATTATATATTACAATTTTATTTAATAATAGTAAAAATTTAATTAAATAAATACACTTATATTTTTACAATTATATCATAAACTATTATTTTTAAAATTATATAATAAACTTATACTTTTGATTTTTTTTAATTTTTACAACAACAAAAAATTATTATATAAATAAAAAAAATTATATTTTTTATTTTTTTAAATTTTACAATAATAAAAAATTATTTAATAAATAAATTTATATTTTACAATTATATCATAAACTTATATTTTTTATTTTTATTTTTATTTTTACATTAATAAAAAATTCAACTAAATAAATAAACTTATATTTTTTATTTTTCTAATTTTTACAACAATAAAAAAATATTAAATAAATATATTTTTTCTTTAAAAAATAACTAAAAAAACAAAATTAATATTATAAAACTTTTCTAAAAAATACAAAAATTTAATATAAAATTAAAAAATGTCTGAACAACATTTTCTTGGAATCAATATTTATTTATTAATCGTAAAAATATAATTAAAAATAAAAATAAATTAAATAATTCGCAGAAAAAGTCGCAGAAAAACTTACAGCAAATTCCGCAGCAAATCTCGCAGCAATTCCTGCGACATTTCCAGAGACTTTTGTGGTTTCAATAGATGACTAATTCCTGCGAAGAAAATCGCAGAAAATTCCGCAGGAAATTTATATTTTAATTTTAAATTTAAAGTCGCAGCTAAAGTCTCAGAAGTTCCTGCGACATTTACTGCTATCAAGTTTTTCGCAGGAAATGATGTTTCACAATATAGAAGCGCAGGCAAAATCGCAGGTATTTCTGCTGAAATGTTTCCTCAGGAAAATCCGCAGGTAAACTGTGTATTTCTGGTAGTGATAGGATTCGTTTTTAAAGAAACTAACAATTTGGCATGATTTAGAAATTTAAAACAAGTATACCAAACTAATAATCTGATTTAGTTTAATTATAAATAAATTAAAACAATTAGATTTGATAACCGGTTATTATAATTCAATTTTATTCGATTTTTTGATTGAATTGTATCGTAAACAATCCTAATTGAGATTCTCCACCGCTTATACTTTGTCCGTGCGAGTGATATTTGTTATTTGTTTTTTTGTTTTTGTTTTTTTAAAAAAGAGAAATTTAAATATAAGTTTAATAAGGAACCTTGAATTGTATGGATTAAGCATTTTAATTATTTTTTTCTTAATTACATTGATTTATATTTTCTGGGTATATAATTCTAGTGATAAATACCGTATGAAATTCTCTAAAGAATGAGATCTATAGTCAAATCTGAATGAAACTCTACCTTATATTTTTACATAATCAATCAATTACATATAGTTTTTGTTACACACAAATTAAGAATTATAAATTGACAGTTCATTAGAAGTTTCTTTAATAATAAATAACTTAAATATCATACACAAAATAATTAGTTGGTTGACATGGTAAAAAAACTACAAATTAGCATAATTAACATTAAACTATGTTTTATTTTGGTAATTTTTCTACTCATGTAATTTATTTTGTTAAAGATCAACTCACTTATTACATAAATAATAAAACCAATATAAATAAAAAGGTCCCACCGAGAATTGAACTCGGGTTACCAGATTCAGAGTCTGATGTCCTAACCGCTAGACCATGGGACCGTTGTGATATGCCAACTTCAAATATATTAATTTGATCTATATGTGTCGTATAGGACGATTTTTATGTTTTGAAAATAATTTTGATTTTAAAAGTTGCATGAAACTTAGCATTACCATGTTTGTATGAACACTTTTTTGCAAACTGGTTTTCCTCTCAAGGAATTTTCAAACAGTTGAGGAACTTGGTCGGTGATCCTATCAGGGACAAGTTCCTTCTAAATCCTGTTGAGAATTAGCTCATGATTTGATTGCTCAGGGCAGGTTCTTCTTAGAATTGGTTTATCCAGAAGATCTTTCAAGACTTAGACTGGGGCAAGCTTTCAAAGCGCACAGTAACGCAGTCATCTACAGAATCAGACAAGCTAAAACAATTATCAATTCATCTACAATAGACAATTAATCTGGGGAAATTTACTTAAAGAATCCCCAAGCAGCTCTCCATCCTTCCTACAAGGATCATCAACTTGATATAGTTTACCAATGTGGTAGAGATGTATTCAACAATAGCATCTTTAGTCCTCCCAAGCAGAATGGCAGTGATCTCCGTGTTGAGGAATCAGTCTTCCAGTCTTGTCTTCTCTCCAAAAGAGTCGAGTCATGTCGTCAGCGTCTGCATTTGCATTTGATCATATATCATAGCGTAACTGATATACATATGCATAACAATAGCGTTTCATCCTCATTTGTATTTATCTTGAGGTCGTGTTGTTATCCATGTCTTATCTTGTAGTCAAAGTCCAACACACTTGACACCTACCAAATGGATATTATCGTTTCTATCTGATGTTCTTCCAGATATGACATTTTTTATCCGACTATTTTCCAGATATGTCTATTCCTATCTTACATCTGATAACATTCTCAGATATTGTGATTATACCTTTCATTCAAAGCCATTATTGAATGTCTGGTATCTTTTTATCCAATTTCATTCTTGGATGTCACCCTTGTTTGACTCTCTCTGATGTTTTTCCATATTGAGTCTTTGTTCTGATGTTCTTCCAGAACTTATCTGATATTTTTTCAGATATTTCCTTCGATTCTGATATTTTTCCAGAATCTATCCGAGTTTTTTTCGGATATATTTCTCTCTCTGATGTTTTTCCAGATTGATTCTTTGTTCTAATGCTCTTCCAGAACTTATCTGATGTTTTTCCAGACATTTTCTTTGATTCTGATGTTTATCTAGAATCTACCCGAGGTTTTTCTGAATATGTTTCTCTCTCTGATGTTTTTCCAGATTGAGTCTTTGTTCTGATGTTCTTCCAGAACCTATCTGATGTTTTTCCATATAGTCCTTTGTGATTCCGATACTTTTCCAGAATCTCATTTTCTTGGTGTCTATCTAATGCTTTTCTGGATATGACTTTTGCTTCTGATGTTTTTTCAGAGCCCCTTTTGTCTATCCGATGCTTTTTCGGATATGACTTTTGTTTCTGATGTTTTTCCAGAAACTCTTTAGTACTTATCTTCTTTTTTTCTGGATATGTATTTTCTTCTAATGTTTTTCCAGAAACTCCTTAGTACTTATCTGATGCTTTTTCGAATATGTATTTTGTTTTGATGTTTTTTCAGAAACTCCTTAGTACTTATCTGATACTTTTCCGGATATGTATTTTGTTTTGATGTTTTTTCAAAGCCCTTTTGTGTCTATCTGATGCTTTTTCGGATATGACTTTTGTT